GGAGAGAACCCACGCTGCACGGGGAGAACATGCAAACTCCATGCAGAAAGATTCCGGTGTCCCCGAACCGGCAACCTTCTTGCTGCGAGGCAACAGTGCTACCAACTGCGCCACTTTGCAGCCCTTGTGTAATGGTTAGCACTCTGGACTCTGAATCCAGCGAACATAAATAACAAATATTAAATAATCAATGATGTACCTGTTATTGAAGTCACCTGGTGAAAATAGTTTCTTTCTTATGTCACAATCTGTATCACTACAAAACAAAATCTTGGATGCCTTTTTTTTATTTTATTTTTTAAAATATTGTGCAACCCTAGGCCTTACCTTAAAAGTTATAAACTATAAATTGACATATTGTGTCCTCTTTGTATTTATTATTTAGCAACATAGATTATTGTCCAGTAAAGCTTGTGCAGAATTACTGAACATCAGAGATGCACATTAACACTTTCTTCAACTCTCACCGTCCTACTGGTCCAGGAGTGGAGCTGGTGAGCTGTGATTTGCTGAGGGAGGGCGCGCCCATCGAACCGGTTCCACCTGTCACTCACTGGAAGCCTGATGCTGTGGTGAGAGAAGCTACACCTGCTCTACCTCTAGAGCGGGCTGTAGGCCTGATTTTCTGTATTTGCATATTTTTTTGTTTTGGTAACTCTTTGTTGCCCACATGTTTGTGCAGGTGTCCTGTCGAGTGCTTGTTTAGGCTTACAGCTGCAAAAATCAGCCAATACATCAGTGCACTGCTACAGGAATGAGTCAAAGAAGAGTTAATTTCCAAAATGCCAACGTTTAATGGAGTCCAGTAGCTGATCTGTGTTTTTTTGTTTTTTGGGGTTTTTTTTACACGTTGGTCTTTACTCTGGGTAATTATTTACACAGCTACCCTCAGTCAAAAAGTGGTTGACAACAAAGTCTGGACTATCCAAAATGGTTAATAACAATCCCATAGACAAGGATTATTAATTTAAGGGTAAATGTAGCTGCTAACATTTCCCATAGACTGAAGTGCAGCACCTCCTGTCTGCTTTAAGTGACTCAGTATTGATTTAGCATCTGTTAGAAGGACCATCCTCTATATAGTTGGCATCATTTTGGATTGAAACTCTTCATACATTCCCTACCATGCACAGCAGCGTCATGTATTGACTG